CCAGAGGCCCGCTGGCGGGGCGCCCCACGGCAGGCTGCACCCTCCAGGCCCCGCCTGTCGGAAGGAAGCCCTCCTTGGACGGCTGGACTCACCAGTGGCCAAGCGGGGGTTGGGGACGTGTGCGATCCTCCTCCTCTCACCGGGGGCTGAGATGTGGACTGACGGGGTGCCCTGGGCAGGTGGTGGGGCTGCCTGCAGCCAGCTGGCCGACTCCCTCTGTGCCTGCTGGGCCCGCCGGTAGCACACCTCCTGGGCCGTTGGGGGCCGGGCTGGGGGCGCCACTGGGCCCTTCCTGGGGGGGTCCGCCTGATGAACGGCAAACCTGGGGTCTGGCTGCATGTCTGGGCGCCCTGAGTCCCTGGGTACCCCAGAGAGAAGCAGCAGGTACAGCAGCCCTCTGGTCCACGCTCTCCCACAGCACGGCTTCTCTGTGACCCCAGGCCAGCTCTGCCCTTGGATAGGTGGGGTCACAGCAGGGCCCGGCCAGAATCCCTATGCCTATTCAGCTGTGGCTGCAATGCAATCCCGCCTGGCCTGCTCTCCCGGACCCCAGGCCTTTCCTCCAGGAAAGGGTCTGGGCCTGCCTCACGGTGCTCTGGCAGCTAGCCCAGAGCCAGGCTCCGCCGCAGCTCCACCCGTGCCACCTCTCTGCCTGCACAGTGACCCTGTGGCCCTCCTGTTGCTGGGCCAGGCAGGATGTGGGTAGAGCGTCAACATGGCCCGCCTCGCGGCCTGTTCTGCCCACCCAGCGCCGTGGACCATGGGGGCAGAGGTGGGCAGGGTCTGTGTCTCCAGGGACACAGGTGTCGTGGGCCCCCGTTTCTGCAAGTGGGCGGGTGGAGGTAGGCACAGGGCCCTTCTCAGAGCGGAAGTCAGATCCTTACCTCCTTGCTGTGCTTGGAGAGGTGGGAGATCCTCCGCTTCTGCCCAGGGAACAGGGTGGCCAGGCCCGCAGGCCCCTTCTCCTCGGGAGGCTGCAACACACGCCTGCCCTCAGCTCAGCGGCCCGGCCCGCCCTGGCCAGAGGGCCAGCTCTCCAGCCCTCAGGAAGCAGACTTGGGCACGGGCGTCCCACAGCCACCTCCCGGGCCCTGCTGGCCCCGAGCAGAGGGCCCTGCTGGCCCCGAGCAGAGGGCCCTGCTGGCCCCGAGCAGAGGGCCCTGCCCCACCCTGCAAGGGCAGAGGCTCGGAGCTGGGCTGAAGGACCTGGAGGACCTGCGAGGGCCGGGCTCTGACCCCCAACAGGTGGGAACTGGCCCAGCCCGGCTGAGGCTCAGGGCGGGCTCCCTCTGGTGGCCGACGTGGGGATGCTGAGACCCAGCTAGGTCAGGGAAAGCCAGTCTCCCTCTGAGGGGCGGGGAGGGGCCGTGGGGAGGGGGGAGGGGACAGGAGGGACCCCGATACCCCTTTGCCGGTCAGTCCGGGTGGGCTCGTTCTGGACAGGGCGTGGGGCAGCTGGCAGCCGCCGCGGGGTCCTGAGTTTCAAACGAGTTAAGAGGCCGACACTGAAGGCGGGCTTTGGCCTGTGCCGGGCTGTGAGGCACCTGGAGACGGCTCCAGGGCTGGGGTTCCAGGCCCCGGGAGCCCAGGGCCCTCACCTGCTGGGCCCTGCGGCCTCTGTCCTCCTTCTTCACGCTGGTGGACTCGTTGAAGATGCGTAGACACTCCTCCATGGGGTCCGAGTCAAAGTCGACCTCCTGCTCCAGGGCCGCGTAGTCCACGCCCTTCCCCTTTCCCGCAGCCCCCGACGAGGAGGAGGACGAGGACGAGGAGGACCGTGCGGGGGAGGGCGGGGGCGGGGAGGCCTTGAGTCGTTTGGGCGGCCCCTGAGTCTTGGCCAGGCCCAGGCTGTGGTCTGAGTCCGAGTCGGAGTCGGAGCTGAGGCTGGGGAGGGTGCAGGGCCACCCCTGCAGTGCCCCCGGACCCCCTGCATCCTCCTCGTCGCTCTCATCCCCAAACAGGTCAGCGTGGCTCAGGGCCCGCTTCTTCAGCTTGGGGGTATCCTGGGGGACACCACCGTCCAGAGAGCGGGCCTTGCGCTCCACCAGCTTCCCCGACAGGGCCTTCCCGCCCTTGCTGGGGTCCTGAGACTGGGGGCCCCCGCGCCCGGGGCTGGGCCGGCGGGCAAGCCGGTCTGGTCTCCTCTTCCCTGAGCTGGCCACTGGGGTGGCCGAGGATGGCTTCTTCTTGGTCCCTTGCAGCAGCTGCTCCTTGTGCCTGGGGCTGCTGGCCTGCATGCCCCTCCTGTCCGCCCCAGGCTGCTCTCCCGGCCTCCCACGCGCCCGGGACTTGGCCTGGTCTTTCTTCCGGGCGCTGTCCTTGCAACTGGGGGCTGGGGGAGTCCCACTCTTCTTCCTGGCTCTGCCTTCCGTGGGGCCACTGTGACCCTGCACAGGGCTGACAGGGGTGCTGGGCGTGGCCTCGGCAGGTTGACCAAGGTCACCCACGTCGCACTGCACGGCCATCTCCTTGGTCTCCCGCAGGGCCCCCTCCTCGGATTCTAGGCCCTGCTTAGAGGGTGGCTTCCCGGGCACCTTGCCCTCGGGCTCGGTCCCAGCCTTGGGGGGACTGGCTGTCGCAGGCCCGTGGCCAGGAGACGGGGCAGTGTCATCCTCGGAGTCTGAGAACCTGGCGTCGCAGCCGCCGAAGGGGTCACAGGGTCTCTTGGGGGCAGGCGTGTAGGGCTCACTGCGGCGGGCTCCCCCTGGCCGCTTGTGGGCCCTGCTGCCCCGGGAGGTGGCCGTGCCGAGGTGGCGGGCCGCGTAGTTGGACAGCGGGTCGTACTCACGGGCCGCGGGTGGCCGTGCAACCCACGGCCTGGGGCACGTACTCCAGGCCGCCCCGGGCCTGTGCCCTGTCCAGAGGGGCTGGTGAGTACCTGCCGCCCGGCTCGGCCGGGCGAGGCAGGGGGGAACAGAGACAAGACGGCCTCGATTGCCTGGTTGACCAGCTCCAGCTCCAGGAGGTCGGGGTGCGGCTCGCCCCCCCCCCCCCCCCTGTGCACGGGGGGCTTGGGCAGCTCGGGGTTGTACGGGTCATAGCCGAGGCCTGGAGGAGGCGAGGGGAGGCGGCGGTGAGTGACCTGGAGTGTGACTGTGGGCCAGGAGACAGGCGGCCGCAGGGGGCCGGGGCCGAGGCCCACCTCCCCTCAATGTGCAGGCTGACCCAGGGCTGGGGGCCTTCCCACAGCTCACGTGGAGACACCACAGGCCCAAAGGCCACCACCCCAGTGGCACTCCCTGGCCAGCACCCTTAACCACCACGCCACCTGCTGGCCCCAACCTGGAGTGAGGTTTTTTTTTTTTTTGAGAGAGAATTTTGCTATAGGGTGTGCGTGCTCGCCAGAGAGACAGAGAGACACAAAGTGAGAAATCACCCCCCAGGGGGGATGGTCACGCCACAATCCCTTCTCCTCCATTCTTCTCTCGGGATCCTGGGCATGCATGCACACGCGCCCGGAGTGAGTTTAAGCCACCAGGTCTGGGACTCGAACTGCAGTCTACTACATGGGAGTCCAGAGACACAACCATGCCGCCATCTGCTGGTCCCAGGATCCAGCACCTGAACCACAGAGCGCCACAGGCGACCAGCACGGCGCTGGTCCTGGGTGCCCGGGCCCTTCTAGGAGGCAGGAGTCCGAGGAGCCTGGGAGTCGCTCTGAGGGTGGAGGGGTCCTAGGCTCGGGTGCAACCCCAACTCTCCGGGAGAGCGGACCCGCCTTTCTCCTGGCGCCCCAGGTCCAACCTTGCTCCTGAGCAGCAGGACAGTCACTGAGCCCGGCCGGGGACCATAGGACAGACGCCGAGCCCGGCCGAGGGCTGCAGGACAGACACTGGTCTTGGTGTTTTAGGTCTCTGCGTGTGTGTTCACGGGAAAGGGACAGAGAGGGAAAAGGAGACGTCACCCCTAGGGGACGGCCACACCACAGTCCCTCATCCACCGTCCGGGGCCCTTGGGCAGGCACGCAGGCGCCCAGCCTGGTGCTCAAGTCTAGGACTCCAGCAGTGGTCGGCCAAGTGGGCCAGGGAGCCACCGCCCCGCCACCTGCCGGCCCCCACCGGGGCCTTTCAAGCCATTAACCCTGTAGGTGGGGGCCCACACCTGACCAGCAGGTCCTCCAAGGTAAAGGAGCCGTCCAGGGAACCTCCTGGCTGGCCGTGGCAGGTGCAGCTCAGAACCTGCAAAGCCGTCCCTGAGACATGGAGGCCGAGCAAAGGCACAGGCTGGCTGGCCCCTCACCCCGTGCAGCCTCAGGAACCTGGTGTCAGAGCAGAGGCTGCCGGAAAGCCTTTGCAGGGGCCCGGGGACGTGGCTCGAGCAGGGGCGAGCGTGGGCTGTGGGGCCTGGGATGGCGGACAAGGTCCTAGGGGCTGGTCAGGAAAAGGAGGGCCTCAGAGCCGGCTCCGGGGCCCTGGCTGTGACCCCGCCGGCCCCTGGGCTGCCCCCTCTGCTGGACAGGCTGGCGTGCAGGGACACAGAAGGCTCAGCACCTGGAAGGGCAGGCTTGGGCCTTCCCTTAGCTCTGAGGCAGGCCCGCCCCACCCCTGCAGGGTCCGCAGAAGGGGACAGGACAGACATGGGGTACAGCTCACTCCCCCAGGCACCCCGCGAAGGCGGCAAGAGCAAAGCCAGCTGGGGGCTCAGCTCCTGGGCCCTGAGACGGGACGGTGGCCACAGGGGGGCTGCAGAGCTCTCGGGGCCTGAGGGTGAGGCCAGTGGGGGTCTGTGCTCCCCTGTGCGTCCCCACAGGCCCACGGGAGTCCACGGGATGGGGTACTTCCACGGCCAAGATGACCCTCTTTTAAAGAGAAAACTATTTATTTTACTTTGTTGTTATTTATTTACCTCGACCAGAAAGAGACAGAGAAAGGGAACTGAGAAAACAAGCTGCCAGGGCCGGGACTTGAACTGCGGTGGGCTACGTGGGAGTGCTGCGCCTCAACCACCACGCTGCTGCGGCTGCTCTCACACCTCCCCAGCAGTGGGCCTAACAGCACTTCGGAGCCAGGCAGCGCCCGGCGCTCACGGGGAAGCCAGGTAGGGCACCACACCCACCCCAGCAGCCCCAGGACTGCGGCAGTGTCCCCAAAGGTGCCCACACACCGGATCACACGTGAGCATCAGCTGTTTACAGGGATGCTTGCACGGCGTGTCCATCCCACCCAGAGCCATGCGAAGAGCCCAGCAGGCCTTCTTGACTGACTCTCACAAGTCCACTTCCTCCAGGCAGCCCTCCTGGACCCGCTGGAGGACTGCATCCCGGCAGCCAGCTGCAGCCTGCTCCTGCAGGAGCAGCTTGGTGTGCTGACCCGGGTCGGGGAGCCCCGCGTGGCCCTCTCGGCACCCACCCTCGCCAAGCCCCGTGTCTACAGGCCAGGCGTGTGGGAAGGGTGGAGCACGCCGACCGTGAGGGCTCGGGTGGAGAAGCGGCCAGACCCGGAGGCCCGCCAGCAGCTGTGCCTGTTGCCACGCAGCCTCACCACGACCTGATCTGCTCCTCCCTGGATGCCCTTCAGTCAGGGGGGACCCAGGTGGAGCAGGCAGGGGCCGAGCTGCCTCGAGGTGGTGTGGCAGCACGTGCACCCAGCCGGCAGGACCCTGTGGGCAGAGGACGGATCAGGCCGCCCCCTGCCCCGCTGGGCACTGTGCACACAGAGCAAGGCCAGACATCGTCACTTGGGGCCGGCCGCTGCAGGGCCTCGCAGCTGCGCCTCCAGGCTGGGGTCCCTGGAGGAGACAGTGAGGCTGCCGAGGGCCCTGGAGCTCTCCCACTGCCAGGGCCCTCCCCGCTGAGCCGTGCCTGCAGCTGTGCCTCCCACCTGTGCCCAGAGGGACGGTGCTTCCAGGCTCCGCCTCTGCCCACGGGTCCCTCCACTGTACCCGCAGGCCGGCCACGC